TCGACTCGACGGCAGCGCGCGCGCGGCAAGGAAGGTCCATGCTGCGTTGCAATATAGATCAAACACTCTCCCCATTCATGTCGAACTCCGCCCGGGGGGGGGCCCCCGGGCGCTGGTCCTCCTGAGAAAGCTCCTGGGGGCCCAGCTCAGCATTGAAGTCTGCGCCCAGGAGCCGCGCACCTGCAGGCTGTAAGTGGTGAGAGAAGTGGGCGAAGATGAGGTTGGAAGTATCGTGGAAACATTCGCCTGGAGAAGATTGCGGGAGGTACGACGAGACGACAGGGGATGATTTATCTGTGGTGGTCATTGCCACCGCGGCACGAGGATGCACATATTCAGGTACTTCTTGCGAGCAGTGAAGATGACGTCCAAGAGCACGGGGAGGTAAGCTACGCGAAGCAGCGCACTGATCTTGAAGGAGCAAAACGTGCAATTCGCACACTTTCTAAGGACTCCCCACGAAACCGTCATAATCTTCAACCACCATCCAACAGCAATTGAGCGCAACCACCTTAACCGAATGAATGGCGCTCATCCCCCAAGAACGCGAAGAGCGAACCCTAGCTCAGAAACAAGCGGTTCGCTCTGACTCCCCCCTACTCTTTTCGACCCTCTCCGGAGAAGGCAGTATCATCTTGGAGATCCGATTGCCGCGCCTCCGCATTGCAACTCGCCGGGTTGAGCTAAACGCGCCGAAGGCGCTGATGAATGCAACCTGCTTATACGCTGGCCCATCGCGCCTGGGGGCCTGATCCCCCGCCGGGGAAAAGACGATGTTAAACTTGCGCCCGCTTCCCCCCGCGAGAAACAACACCATAACCAGGTTCACCGGCGTAGAAGCGATCTTCCGCTGATTCATCGACTGGTGCTTCTTCGTCCACAGCCTGAGTTCAGGCTGCGCGGGACCACCAACAACACCAACAAACGCGCAGATGGCCCTGCCACTGTCCGTGCTAGGGATGCCGTCTCGATCTACACACTCACGATGTTTTCCCTAATAACGCCCACACCGCCCCGACTATGCCTCATGTAATCGGCTGCGCGATTCCCGGAAGGCGCACGCCACATACGAGCAACTGCTGCCACATCAGTCATCGAACATAGTTTGTCCACGCATGGCATCAGCCCATCGCTTGTCGACGCCTCAGGGAACCCACCGATCACCATCTTCAGAGCATCATAGATCATAGCCCTCAGGCTGTCCAGGGCGGGCATGACCAGGACCGCTCCGAGCGAAAGTGGATGCGGCGCTAGCTGGGCGGGGCCCCGCCTGCGCATCCTGAGCGGCACGAAGAGCATCAGCCGCCAGCTTCTGTATTGTATTGTATTGTCGGGGCCTTGAAGGCAGGAAAAAAACAAAAAACCGAGGGGGCCACGGATTGGCCTACCCTCCCGAGGACGCCGCGCTGGGCCTCCTCCCCAAACAAGTGCAGCACAGACAAAAAGGCGAAGCCTCTGGCATATACTGCACAAGACCAACCATCAAGCGCAGCGCTGATCAGATCATCTACTACACAAGAAAACCAAATCAGGTGTAGCACTGAAAGGAACAGATACGACACACGATCTCATCACCAACAACACCTGAATCACGCAAGCACTGTGCAACAATAACAGATACTGCACATGATCAGGGCGCCACCCTACCTGGCTAGTTCTCCAGGCACTTCGCCTGGGCCGCCTCCAGCAGCCGAAGGCCCTCGGCGATGTCGCCGCGCTGGCGGGCCTCCCTCGCCAGCATAGCGGCGCCGAGAATGAGTTGCTGGGCCTCCGTCGGGGCCTCCGCCGCCGCCGAAACCTCGAGCACCACCTGCTGGGTGATCTCATCGAGGTCATCAGCCCAGCGCACTCCCTTCGAGGCCCCCTCGGGCGCCTCCACCAGCGCCTCGGCGCCGCACGCCCTCGGCCCCAGCGCTGTCGGCTTGCTGCCCCCGATGCGGGCGGCCCCCGCGGAGGTGGGAAGACGGCCTGGGGCCCCATCTTCCCAGGCAGTGCCGGCCCCGCCAGGAGTGGGAAGACGGCCTCGGGCCCCATCTTCCCAGGCGCTGCAGGCCCAGCCAGGGGGGGAAGACGGCCTGGGGCCCATCTTCCCAGGCGCCGTGCTGCCCGCCAAACCCCTCGGCGTCGGCCTGGCACTCGGACGCCTCCTCGCGGGAACAGTTGTCCGACAAGGCTGACCCCGCGAACTTCCCCTTGTACGACGCCCCCATGTCGACGGGCTGCTCCACCAGTTGCTCGCCCACGCCATCCTGCAGCAGCGGGAAAGGCGGGACCTCTGGCAGCGACTCCTTCCGCGCCGCATCGGCCCCTACGAAGGCGCCCTCGAAGTCGAACCTGGCCGCACCTCCAGGCCCCTCATCCTCCCCACAAGCGAGGTCGGCCCAGAAAGGCGAGGCGGCCTCCGCCTTGCGCCTGAGCTCCCAGGCAAGGGCCTCGGTGCTCATGAGCTCGTCCACGAGCCCGTCTCGTTCTGCCAGGAGCTGCTGGCGCTCCGCCATGAGCTCCTGGACACGGCCCACCATGCCGTCCGAGTCCGCCGCCGCCGACCCCGAGCCCGCGACGCCGAGCTGCTCCAGCTCCCCGGACTTCCCGCTGGAGGTGGTCGCCTCCGTGAGCGCCTCGTCCGAGCCAGCGGACGCTTCGTCCGCGCCCTTGTCCTCGAACCTCGGCGTCAGCACCCCCGACACGGATCGCATCCCGGCCTTGCCCCGTACCTCGGCCGGCAGCCGCCGGCCGCGCTGGAGGAACTTGCCCTGCGCGTCCGACTTCTCGAACCGATCCTCGACCCTGAAGGGCTGGCCCATCTCGTCGAGGAACTTGTGCTCCGCGATGTTCCGCCAGGCGCGTCGACCTCCCGCCGCGCGCGGGGGCCGCGCCTCGCTCGCAGCCCGAACGTGCTCAGCGACGACGGGCTCGATCAGGCTGATCCGCGCCTGGGACCTCCGCGGCGTCGCCCTCACGCACCACTGCGGGATCTCCCATGGCCGAGCGGACCGCCGCCGCCGCCACAGCCGCCAGGCCCTGCCGAGGCGCACCTCCCTCGGCTGCACCTCGCACGGCGGCGCGGACGAGCTCCGCGACAGCGCCAAGC